CGTGGTCTGCAGCGCATGTGCGCTTGAACGTTGCCGCGCGGAGACAAGCGCTGGCCTGGCATCGCATGCCTTCGACGTCCTCATTGCGGAGCCTCTTCTCTTTCTCTCGCCTTGTAAAGGGCCTGCTAGCTGCTGCCAGAATGAATCTGCCGTGCATAGCCCCACCCCCCAGGGCTGGACCCCAATGCAATGCAAACCTCAGAATGGGCAGGACGACAAGCACACGAATTAAGAAACACACACGCGCGCACACTAAGCCGAATTAATTGGAGGGCTGGTTTCCCTAAGCTGCTGCTGTTAGCTGCCTGCCTTTCCCTTTCAGGGTGGGGATGAATCTCATTCTCGGGGCCAAGGCCGCTCCCCAAGCTTCGAGGCTCCAAACCCGCACCGTCCTCGTAAGTTTAAGCCCCCTTCCGGTTTAGTGTAGTTTGTCCCTGGCCTAGGCTTGGGTTCGCGATCTGGGTGTCAAATCGGCCTGGACCTAGAACCATGGCCAATAATTGGTTTAGTCAGCCAGGGCATGTTAGGCTTAGTAACTGGGTGCAATTGCCGGGTTTGGAACAGCCCTCCCCGTTGAAACCGGTTGCTGCGCATTGCCGCCTTTTCAATTTCACTGGGGGCACTGTCTGGCTGCCCTCAGGTCTGCGACTTGCACTCGGCTCTGCCAGTGCTCTCAGCGCCGCCGCTGCAGGAGGCCACCCGGAACACGAAAGCCTCAACTTGAAACCTTAACCAAACAATTTAAGAACCCTATCACTATATTTTAATCCGGGCCGCCGTCAGAGTCAAAACCTTGAGCCCCAAAAGCCAAGCCCTCGACCCTTGACCCGAAAACACGAAAACCCTAAATCCAAACCAGGCAGACAGCCACGCATGTTTGGGATTTATGATTTGTGGGCTTGGCTTAAGGACTTGATTTTTTCAGGGCTTGAGGCCTTCAGCTAGAGGGCGTAAGGGCGTTAAGGGATTATAAGGGTTTACCGGGGGTTTAAATAGGGCTTCGCTTACACTTTTACATCTGTGCATGTCATCCTTGCGCAGGCAGTGCACGTCTCGATTTGCGGCTGTGGCTACGCTAAGTCTATGGTCTAGGGGGAGCAGGGACACACTCAAACCCAAAACCCTCACAAGCCCTATCACAATCAGTCTTCCCTGTGCAGGGCAGTCCGGCCATGATGCTGCAAGCCGGGAAGCAGGACTGATTCAAGGTTAGGGTTTACGGGGGCTTAGGGCTCAGGATTCGTTAAGTGAGCCCTGTAATAAGCGACGGCCCATTGGAAACAATTGATGCAGTGACTTCCAGTACCACTTCCGAAAGATTTTCACCCTCACTTCCATCAGAGATTCGTTTACCGCCAGACTGTCGGAAGTCAGGCCCTTGCGATCGCAGCCCAGAGCATCATGAGCATCAGCTTAGCGATCGCACCCAGAGCATCAACACCAAACCAGCGTTAACCAGAGCAACTGCTATAAATCAGTAGGTGCTTGCGGCTTGCCACGCATCCAGCCAAGGCAAACTATCGAGTGAGCTCTTCGAAGGCGATGCAGCTATGCTGCATCAAACAACATGGTCGAGCGGAAATCCACAAGCTGGCTGTCAAGTCGTTCTACCGACCTGACCTTGCGCCGCAAGTCCTCGCCCTGGAGATGGCCAGGTCGGACGTGGAGCTTTTTTCTGGCGCAGTTCCACAGCTTTCCGACATCATCCGTGTGTCCTCTTGGGTGCTCAATCCCACTAGTTTCAAGTCGATGGCGTCGCTGAGCCTTACAGAGACGTTCCTCAGTCGCCGGGCAGAGGCGTGGACAGTCCATGACTTAGTCGCGGTTACAGGGCGTAGGCACTTGCCGTCATGATTCTTGTCACGCAGGACCTTTCACGAAAGGCAGCGTCGTCCATGGTCAAGGTGATGGCAGAGGTCCTGCGCTTGAAGAAGGTTGCTGCCCTGGCCCAGTCGCAGTTCGTGACCTTGACTTTCGACGAGAGAAAGCCACACACGGTGTGCAAGTACCGTTGCCCCTTGTCAGCATAAAAATGCTCAACCAGCCGATGTCGCCATTTTTCGTGCATCGCCCAGCAGCCGCGCAAGGCGATGTCCTGGGCGAGTACGGCCACGGTCTTCTGAGGGCATGGTGCACCGATGTTCCCACCTTGGCGGACTTGGACGAGGATCACAGTCGAAGAAAGTCTGTTGCTCGGCACGACACCAAGTCCAGCAGCGTGGTTTGTAAATGAGGGCCGTGACAGTGAGTAGCTCTTTACGACTAAGGACGAACTAGTCGAGGCGGTCAAGTCGCTGCACACCGACATGGCCGGTCAGGTTGATGACGCTGCGGTATCATCCTTTCTTGGCAAGGTCGTTGCAGTCGCCATCGACGGTGCCTTTACCGGGCCGAAGTCAGTCGCATTTTTGCAGTTGTCGCACTGCCCCAATTTGCGCATCCGCTGGCGAGACGCAGCGCACGGAATCAGGAGGGCAGTCTGGGAACATTAGTTGTTAACCTGAGCCTATACTGCAACGTAATCATTGCAGTCCCGAGTTTCATCATTGGTGAATGTGCCCCTGGACAGGTTGGCGTTCCTCAACCCCGTGCAGTCGGCGCCGCCACTCGCAGACGTGCGACATGCCTTGTTTGAAAAGGACGGCGGCCTGGTCCCAGAGTTGAAGTTCAGCACGGAGACTCGGCAAGAGCCGCACTTTTCGTGTAATTAGGCGTCGCACTTAACATGTTTTCCTGTCACGGGCGCGGGAGCACTGATTTCTAAGGAGTGGAAATTGAAGCTCCGTGCAGTCGCCGCAGCGTCCAACCCAAACGGCATGGTCTTCAAACAGATAGCGTGGTCGGCTATCAGATTTGACGAGTCGGACTCCCTCAGGCTGTTTTGCAAGATGCTGCTTCCAGTCGGCCTGCTTTTGGCGTCGATCTACAGCGACACACGCCTGAAGATGCCGACTCGCCAGCTAGCAGCAAGCACGCTCAGCAAGATGAACGCTCGTTTCGTGGTTTCCCTCGGACTGTATGCTGATCTGAGTGCAGAAGTGCATCGTCTGCTCCGCCACTTCGACGTGGAATACCACGATCCTGCACTGAGTCGCAAGCATCTGCTAGACTTTCGCAAGAGGCTGGGAGGGTCGTGCCTAACACGCGACCTTTAGAAAGCTAAACATGAGCGTTCTAGCGCTCTGTGCTCGTAGGCGCCACAGTTGTCATGATGGATGCGTTGCAGGCTGCAGTCGCTGTTCCTCGACGGCCGCATCTTGGAGGACGGCCCAGGAATGGAAGAGTCTTGTACTCATGGAGTCGTGAAAACTGCAATGCAAGCTGGCCCGATCTACTACGGTGAGAGGGTGCACTACTTCTGGAGCACGTCAAGGAATGACACTCGGCGTCAGTATATGGAGGCCCTCCAAGCTGTGGGCACAGTTGTGCGGGCAATGCTGGAACGGCTGGACGCTGAATTTCCTCCACAGTCGCTCGAGCAGTCCTTCTGCGTCTTCGATGTGGACGCAGCCCACACAGCTGCGCAGAATCCTGCTGATTGGCCGACATACGAGGCGTTCGCCGAAAGTCGAGTGCACCGGCTACTCCGCGAGGGCTTGGGCCTGCAGAACCAGGAGGAGATCAGGAAAACAAGTCGACGGTTCATTTCTGCAGTCGTTCGGCTGATGCCACGAAGAAGCTAGGCTTCGCTCAGTTAGTCGGTTTTCTTCTTTATTTTAATTCAGTCAGGGACCGGGAAAGTTTAAAGTCGAGTACTGTGACTCATTACACATGACACCGTAAGACCTGGCCTTAATAAGAAAAGTGAGGACGCGAGGACAACCGGGCCCTCTGGGCCATGGAGGCCACTTTGCGGGATTCTCCGGATATCTTCCGGAAGTTGGTGGCGTTTTACATCTGTCAGGAAGACGCGTCAGGCACAGTCGAGCGAGCCCACGCCATTGGCAAGCACATGTTGCAGAGCCACGCGGGCCCGCTGGAAGGCAGTGGCGCCACCTACAACGACCTGCTTGCCATCAGGCTGGATGGGCCGAAGTCGCCGGACACCGTGTAGCATGATGGCAACAATTTTCTTGTTCGGTGGCTTAGCGTCTAGCGGGTTAACAATTCAATAATGATAATGCAGCATGACCGGAGTCCAAGCCGGATTCAAGGAAGAGCTGGCCCAGCATGGCGAGTCGCAGCTCCTGCCAACGGAATGGTCGAGAGACTTCATCCGTTGCTGGCGACTCCATCATGGTCGCAGATTCCGGGTGTACCAGACGAAGCGGTCGAAGCCAGCACCAAGAGAGCCGTCAGCTAAGTCGAAGGCTACGGCGAGAAGAGTGCAGGCAGTGGCTCTGCGACAACGTGCCAGCGGCCCCGCGCAGCCCCCGGAGTCGGAGAGCGTACTCCCAGGTCTAAACTTGGAAGATGGACGTAAGATGCTGAAGTCGACGCCCGAGCAGCCGACCATGGGGATGGTGCGCTTCAAGCGCCGGAGCGTGCCATGTCCAAAATAACATAGTTAATCCAAGCTGGCAACTCGTCTGTGATCCGGATTTAGGTGTATCCTTCTTCCACTTTGCTGTTGACTCAGGAAATCATCAAGGCGAGCAACATGGAGATCATTCGGTCGCGCAGGGCTGACTGCCCGCGTTTTGCTTTCGGCAAGCCGACAGTGGTGAGGGCCAATGTTTTCACGAAGCAGAGCGAGTTGACGCCGGAGTCCAGGACATCGCAGCGACTTAGTGGGCTGAGTCGGTGGAAAGTTGTGGACGTCTGTCGCGAGCCGTGCCCGGCAGTGGCCCGCGAAGGCGATTACAGGATTCAGCGCCCTGATGAGAGGGGCTTCTTGACTTTCGCAGCCTGCTGCCACTTAGTCGTTCTGGATTGCTTGGCAGACTTGGCTGTGGACAGCTCGAGCGGGCCTTTTGGCTGAGCTAGGTAATCGTTTGACATGAAGCCTCCTTTCATTCTCAGTCTGATGTATTTTGGTGACATGTCCCAGTGGCACTCAGGAAGCGGTGGAGCAAGACGGCATGCACAATCGCTGGCTTCGGCCTCCCAGTCCTGGCCAAGGAGGCGTGGTGCAATTATGCAGCTGGTGACGGCCCAGTCGATGGTTTGCTGTGTCACCGCCGAGCTCTGGACGTGGCTCATTCTTGATTCGGCGGTGTTATTACCATGCTTTTTAAAATTTATGACTTACAGTCAGGAGTCGTCGTTTTCTGAGTCACCGAGGTCACCACAATCATCATCTACGACTGTCCTGCTGATGCATCGCAGGACGCTGTCAAGTTCATTGATGACTTTGTCGCCTTGTCCAAGGGCCAGTGGACGAAGTACAAGACTGTACAGGAGCAGCAGAGAGCAGCTGCAGTCGCCAAGGCTAGGCCCAAGGCGAAGCCCAAAGCCCGGCCGCAGTTTAAAAGAAGGCGAGGTCGTCCTGCGCCGGCAAAAGTTGTGAAGCTTCAACATGGTGCGCCACAAGACGTGCTTTGGTCCTTGTACAGACAAATTCGAATTCTGGATCGGGTGGCAGGGGTAGCGCACGAGTCGTTGAGGTAAAAGCTGAGGGGCGAAGTCAAGAATGCAACAGTCCAGTCAGACACGAGCCATTCTGAGAAGAGCCTGAAAACTTTCATCGCTGAGGTCATTCTGGGCCTGGATCATCGGGGCTGATGCGTGGGCGCCTTGGCAAGGCAGAGCGTCCCAGCGGCCTCAGCATGGCGTTGCACTTAAACCTGTCTACCCCGGCCATAGGCTCCTCCCCGCCGAAGATTAAAGACTCAAGGCTCCACAGGACTCTTTCGTGAAATCTTCAGTGTTCAATCTTCGGGCCGGAAGCTTTTGAACCGGCCTGTAAACCACGCTCTCCCCGACGAAGACCCCCAATTTTTTTTATGTACAGTAACGACATTGGGTCCTTTCATGTGTTTGGAGGTTCAGAACTCCCGGGCCCCGAAGATGACTCTTTGCCAAACTTTTGTTCCAAGATCATCTGCGATCCCATTGATTTCCCTCCCACCCCTGCTTCCACCCAGACTCCACTCCCACTACCATCGGCTGAGGAGGCGGAGCCCCTGGCAGATGGCGAGGCCATGACCAGATGAGCAGGTCAGATCATGAGGGCTTTGGTGGGTGGTGAGGTGATGTTTGCTTTGACCCCCCATTCTTTCAGGTTCAGTTGACTGTGACTCACAAGTCCCGGGTATCTAGCAGGCTGGCCGCTGTATGTTTGCCCCGAAACCTGAATTGAAGTGAGTTGAGCTCCATGCAACAATTCCCTCTGACAGCCTCTCCTGTGCCCGACCGATAATGGTCCCTGTGGGCGAAAAAACCGCGGACAAAGAGATGTGGTACATGAGGATGCTACGCCAGTCCCTTTGCCACGCCGCGGCAGGAGAAACCTCAGAGGGCAAAGAGGAAAGGGCATTCGTGATCTGCACCCATCGCCCGTCATCATGGGATCATGCTGATACCTTGGGTCGACGCAGCGGACCTAGAGCATTGCTCGGCCGGACTGTGGAACCCTAAGGCGGCACCCCATGATACGTGGGCAGCAACTCCACAAAACAAAGTGGTAGGTGGGCCAGGCAGAAGACCCGACAGTTGATCAGAAGCAGAAGTCAAAGGCACCCTGCAGCCTTATGAACTATGAACTCCAGCCCCAACTCTATAGGCTAAAGGAAGTGCAGCAAGATTGGGCCTGAATTGAAGTGAGAAGCCTTAAGCTTGAGCTCCATGCCACAATTCCCTCTGACAGCCTCTCCTGCGCCCGCCTGTGGGCGAAAAAACCGCGGACAAAGAGATGTGGTACATGAGGATGCTACGCCAGTCCCTTTGCCACGCCGCGGCAGGAGAAACCTCAGAGGGCAAAGAGGAAAGGGCATTCGTGATCTGCACCCATCGCCCGTCATCATGGGATCATGCTGATACCTTGGGTCGACGCAGCGGACCTAGAGCATTGCTCGGCCGGACTGTGGAACCCTAAGGCGGCACCCCATGATACGTGGGCAGCAACTCCACAAAACAAAGTGGTAGGTGGGCCAGGCAGAAGACCCGACAGTTGATCAGAAGCAGAAGACATGTAGTCGTTCACACACCAGGACCCTGAAACCCCAAAAAAGTATGCCCTCAAACTTCGGCAGCAGCAGAATTATTGGGGGGGGCAAGCCCAATACCCTACGCCAACCTCATGATTGTGTATGTATCCATTGACCTAATGACCGGCATTTCCCAAAATTTTGCCTTGAAACTCTCAGATCTTGAAAACCGTCTAACAAATATTCCTCCTGTCAGGTCTGCAGTGGCGATGGACGGTGTGGAGAGTCGTTCGCGTTTTCGTTCTCGCGCTCGTTAGTCGTCCGCATGTCAAGGTTGTTATCTCCTGTTGACTGGCAAGCCCAATGTCACCTTTCTTCTGTAAGTGCATATGCTTTTGGAACATGGCTTTTCACTAATATTTTTCGCCAGCTGTCTGGGGCCATCCCAGGGTTTGGGGTTTGGGGTTTAGGGTTTGGGACTTCGGAGGGGAACGCCAAGCTGCCCACCCGCACGTGCTCAACCCCCTGCTTCTTCGTAAGGAATGAGGGAATGAGGGCCCTATATAATCCCTTAAAGGGTATATGTAGGGCCCTCATTCCCTCATTCCCTACAAAGAACCAGCCGGTCAATGAGGTGTGCAAGAAGTGCATGGAGGAGAAGGCCGGCCGGGCGCGCTTTTTTCTACAGAGGCTTATGATTCTCCCCCTATACGTACCTAGGTCCCCCTTTTCCTACGGTCTATGGGTTCTACCTTGTAATTAAGGGTAGTTACTACTAAACTGTAGGTACATCGAGTCCCAGGTACCCTTTAAGGCATTGGTTTGGGTTCCTAATTCCCTCATTCCCTGCTAAGAACCAGTACGTTTTCTTTATGCGGCTTCGGCCGTGGCACGTGTACTCCAAAGACAACGAAGTGCGCTGTACATGAGGTGCCCTGTTCGGGGACCTTCCTATAAGCAATCGACTCATGCTACACCAGAAGCGACTATAAGGAACACGAATTCATCAGGGCAACCCACCCCCCCCCCCCCGGCTCTTAGGACAGAGCTTTCTTTGGTTTCAAGATGCCCAAAGTCCTCCGGGAGCTGTGCGAAAAAAGAAACTGCTTTCAGCAAACCCTCTGAACGTGAAGCCCGAAACCCTAAACCCTAAACCCTAAAACCTAAACCCTGACACCCCAAACCTACACCTGAAAGGCCACAAGCCATCCCTTTGCGCCTTGATACGCCACTCTCAAAGCCCCCTCCCCCCCCCACCCTGCCCCCATTTTTAAAGCTCCCTCTCCCCTGAACCCTATACCCTCAGCCGTGAAAATCCCAGGCCCTGAGCCCTCAATCCCTCAACCCCAAGACCCAAAAGACTGAACCTTGAACCCTGAACCCTAAACCCTAAACCCTAGACCCTACACCCTAAACCCTAAACCCTTAACCCTAAAGGCCCTAAACCCTAAACCCTAAAGTCTATTGCACAACACGCATACAGGGCTCACGAGACCGACTAAGGCAGCCCCAGACCCCAAGCCCGAAGGAGCAGAAGGAGAAGGAAGAAGCCGCCACCCGGCGCGAGGTGCGGTGCGCTTCTGGGTGGGCTTGGAGGTAGGGTTTAGGGTTTAGGGTTTAGGGTTCAGGGTTCAGGGTTTAGGGTTCAGGGTTCAGGGTTCAGGGTTTGGGGTCAGGGCTGAGGGTGTAGGCTGCAGGATTTACTGCAAACCTAAGTACCCCATTTTGGGACCCTAAACCCTAAGTGCAGGAGCGGGAGCAGGCGGTGGCCGCTACGGAGCTCGAGGCACCTGCTCGAGTAGAGGCCCGCATGTATCCGCACGTTTAGGGTTTAGGGTTTAGGGTTCAGGGTTTAGGGTTTAGGGTTTAGGGTTCAGGGTTTAGGGTTTAGGGTTTAGGGTATGTCGTGGATGTAGGGCTTCCAACATATTCAAGGGAGGATTGCGTCAAGGTGAAATTCCTGAATCCCTCCCAAGACCCAAGCCCCAAGCTGCAAACCCTTGAACCTTAAACTGAGGACCCTAAATCGTAAACCTATTCCCTAAACGGACCTTAGGGGTCATTTAGGGGCTATTTGGGGGCTAACTACTAAGGTATATGGAGATTATAAGTTATATGCAGGGGTTATTTGGGGAATAAGATGAAGGGGTCCTTCCTTGTACCCCTTGCTACTGCTTTCCGCGCAGGTGACGTTGGCCAGCCGCCCGTTTGGCATGACCCCAGCGAGCAAAGGTGGGCAGAGGGTTTAGGGTGCAGGGTTTAGGGTTAGGGTTCAGGTTTAGGGTTTAGTGTTTAGGGTTTAGGGTTCAGGGCATGATGGTACAGACTGTTGGAGATCACCACCCACCCAGGGGTGGGCGCTGCGTTCCTTCTCAGTCGGTGAATCAGCGTAGGTGCAGGAGTATTCGGACTCGCCATGTGTTGGGGAATGCAGAGAAGGCCAAAGGTGACCGAATGCTGCACCAACTGTGCCTGATCTTTTCCGTGAGCCAACCACAACATATTGCCTCTGTGGGGTCGCAAGTTGAGACTCAGATGCGTTGGCACCTGTTGAGACAGAGCCCAGAGCAGGATGAGGTGCGGATAAAGTGCTTGGATTACGGATTTTGAACGGGCAAGCGATGAAGTCGAACCTTTCGCATGTTGTCCCGACCTGCAAGGTTCCCCTTGAGGTATCACGCAATATGTGTAGCAGAATGTCCTGGTGCGGCGCTGCCTCCGCCCTGTATTCTGCTGTGGACTTCCATTTCCATTTCCATTTCCATTCCATTTCCATTTAGGGTTTAGGGTTTAGGGTTTAGGCCCTTGCGTCGCAAAGTCGAAGCTCAGGCGCAAGCCGTGTACATCTTCATATGCAGATGGCTATGATTGAAGTCTGAAGGCTTCTGGGCGCTTCGTCTGCTGGTACCTTCTTGGAGGGTTAGGGTTTAGGTCTCAGGGTTTAGGATCAGCTGTTTGCGGTGAGCGAAACCCTGCACCATAAACCTGAAACCCTAAGCCCTCACCCCTGAATTCCTACCCTAAAAGCCCTAACCCTCAACCACTCAACACTTAGACCTAAAGCCCTAAACCCCTAAAAGTCCTAAACAACTCTAAACCGCCAAAATCCTAAACCCCACAGCCCTAAACCCTAAACCCCCAAAACCCAAAGCGACCCTAAACCCTAAGCCCTAAACCCTAAACCCTAAACCCTAAACCCACCTAAACCCTAAACCCTAAACCCTAAACCCTGAACCCTAAACCCTAAACCCTAAACCCTAAACCCTAACCCTAAGCCCCAAAAACCCTAATCTCGAAGCCCTAAACCCCAAGCCGCAGGCTCGGGCTATGTCGTGCTGAAGACCTCTGAAGGAAAGCCCGCCATCAAGGCGTGGTCTCTTGATTTTCTAAAATAGGGTTTAGGGTTTAGGGTTTAGGGTTTAGGCTTTAGGGGTTAGGGCTTAGGGCTTAGGGTTCTAGGGTTAAGGGTTTTAGGGTTTAGGGTTTAGGGTTAAGGGTTGAGGGTTTAGGGTTTAGGGGTTT